ATGTCAAATGTGCAGTATGAAAGGAATTGGACTCACTTTTGCCAACTTGCTGGTAACTCTGCCTAGCCCTGTGCTGCTTGTGAGGAAGCATAAGAAAGAAGTACAGTTCCACCGGGCCATTGAAAAGAAACACGCAACATAGTTAGACACTCCAAGCTCAACATGCTAAACCAGCGGGTACCATCTAATATGTACATTACAGGGTTTGAGATGGGCAATTACTGTGTGTAAGTAGTATAGAAGACTCTGAAAACCCACGGCTGGACTCTACATATATGAGTAGAATTTGAGTCAACACAAATGACCACAAAGGGAAAGATAACTGGAACCTTTATTTCGAGAAATCCCAAAATGGAGAAATTAAGAAGCCAAGAAGCTGCTCAAAGAAGGAGATTTGCAGGATGTGTTCAGCAGACAGTTAGGGTCCCACTGGGCAAAGTAGGGCCCTGTGATGAAGACACATTTGGTAATGGGCTTTGGCTCTTTTTCTCTGCTCAATCACAGCAGTAGTCAGGCTTTCCTACTTTCCAACACATCCAGTAGCTACTGTCTACACTGGCCACCGAAGACCAGCATGCTCCGGAGCCAGAGCCCTGCAAACCCCATTCACTATTGACTGATGATGGGAGCGTGTGGGGCAGGGGCAGGGAAAGGAAGATCTGGACAGGGCCTCAGTGTGTCATCCTCAGAGTTTTCCTCACCTTATTAGTCTACTTCTGCTATGCCTTCTATCAAGTGTCACCTTTACTTCTCCCAGTCTCTATATGGTTACAGACTGAATTGTTTCCTTTCCCTTCCAAAGTCTGTTTTGCTCTATGTGTCCTATTGAGAATGGACCTACCACCCCCCAGTCACACCCATTCACCCAAACCCTCACATTTACACACCAGGAGCAACTCTAAGAAGTGCTCTAATTTATGTCCAACACTCTCACCATTCCTTCTCTTATTTATCAATTTGCCGAATAATGATAAGATAACCACCAGAGCCAGGCAGCTTCAGCCACTTAATAAAATGAGTAAATTAGTGTTTCTGAACCACAGTTTACTCATCTATATAATGGAGCTAATAACATATGCCTCATGGATTTGTAATTAATATTAGTCTCACCCTATTTATTATAACAGCCTCTTCTAATTAATTTGCTCTTCACAACTCAGCCAGAATAATCTTACTAACATACATATTTAATTGAGTCACTTTTCTGCTTAGTATACTTCAGTGAATCTCTGCCCCCTACAAGATAAATTCTAACTCTTTGGTAGAGCATATAGGGAGTTTTCTTATTTCATCCCTGCCTGGCTTTCTAAGCTTACCCACCTTACTCTTCTTTTTTAATCAACAAACTTTCCTTCATGTTAACTTGAAAACACTGTGTTGAACCTTAGGAAAGATTAAGAAGAGCTTATTAGTTATTTTTATTAATATATGTTTGAAATATCCTAGGTGTGCGTTATGATTTTGCTGCCTGGTTTATAGACATCCTGATGACTTTGTTCAAAGTCAGCAGTGTTACCAACTACATGAAAAACTGATCTCTTAGACACATTTTCCTGCCTCTGAAAAACCATCTGCTTTAAATATATCTCGCTATGATCTGCGTATTAGACAGTGAAACTGTATTCAAGTGGAATTAATGGATTATTTTTATCCACTGGTATACATGATATAAAATCAATGCAATTTTCTTCATTATCACCCAAATTATTTTCTAAGAATAGTTCTAAGATCAAGAAGATCTCTCAGTGCTCTGCATCTGTGAGGAGATCTATATTGATCATTTGTTAGCTGACAAATCTGCCCATTTCACTTAGATTACGGGTCATATTTTTTCTCTTGGGATTGATTGTGGGGCACCATCTGTTATCCCCATTCAGAAATATGGATTAAAGAATCCATTAGAAATACCACATCCTCTTTTGCCAATGTCCTCCGCATATTAACTTTCCATTTATTCCTCCCTAAACTTATAAACATCCACTCAGAAAAAATAAGACTGTAGAAATGAAATCTCAGTTGAATTAATCTTCGGCAGGTAATACAAAATTTTTGTCATGGGAAATATTCTCCATCTGCCCATGTGTGCTAGAAGTAGGGGTTTAATGTAAACATTAATGTTTCATTTTACATACACAGCACTCACCACAGTAAAAATATAGTAATAGATGAATTAACTTATTCTTACATCTTCAAAGTCAGAGTAAATTAAAAGCCTCTGCAGTTAGCTAATATTAATTGTGACTAAGCCTGAATAGGACCTGGATACCTTGAACCAGCTCTAACTGTCATGGCTGGATCCATATCCAATTGATCATTGTATACTATCCCTCCCCTGAGGATCTAGGACTGTGCCTTGCATACAGTAGGCACTGAATAAATTTTGAATGGATTTTTATCAGTTTTATGCTCCATTAATTAAGATCTCTGGGATCTTTTATGTATCTTTTCAGTAACTGACTTTCCATGTACTAGAGTCTAATTAGTCCTCAGTTTGCCTAAATCAGTGCTTATGAAATTAACCAAGTGAACTAAATACATTCAATATTCAATCCACAGCCAAAAGCCCTTAACAATGCTTTTTACTGCCAGGCAATAACAGCATCCTCTTTAGTCTCCAGTGTCTCCTCATTTACACTTTCTGGTTCTTGCCTTAAAGCAGGGGGAGAATCACTTTTTTAAAAACTTTTTTTTACCCATAAAGGATGCCTTCCTGGAATTGAAAAGACATTTTAGAGAACAGAAACATAGCACACAAAATTAATATTTGATTCTCACGTCTTTAGATAAAGAGGATCTCAGATTCATCAATATACAAGAGGTGAATTTTGTGTTTCCGTACGCAAGTGGTGCAAGAACTCTAAATTACCATAAATCCAATCTAACTAGTTGATGATATCAAGTTTCTTTAAAGTACTTTCTATTGGGTATGTTAAGAGTTACTTAATTTTCTTTCATGGTATTAATCTAGTTATAAAAAGTTCACCAGTGTCAATACACTAGATTCCATGAGTACAAAGTTCAAGCTTTAAGCTGCCTCCTCTTATTTAGAAAGCATTTTGAGAGTCCATTTATCTTACTCAAAGCTTGAACCACACGACATCTGATTTTCTTCTACGTGTTGAAATTCACAAGGTAATTAATAGCCTCACTAAATCTAAGGGGTGCTCTACCCATAGAGCTTTCTGCCTAAGTAACATATGGATGTGCTTCTGAGCTTGTTTTTGCATCTTCCCACAAACTAGCTGGGAGAATGAGAAACTTCATTAAAAAGACATTTGTGGGGATGCTAGAGGGGAAGGAAAATCCTCCACAGGCTCTATACCCAATTTCCAGCCAAATACAGGATCACTCCCCACAGGAATCATTTATTGCTTTACTGGCCTAAGTGATGGGCCTGTTAGCATCTCCTTTGCCTGACTGCTTTGCAATCTAGTTGCTTTCAGATCTAAGAAAAGTCATCTTACTATTTATACAGAACTTCTGTCTCACTTCATTTCTTCCAACATTGATCTTACAATGTCTGGTGGGCAAAGCTTATCCTCTGCTCATTGAAAACTGCAAATGTGTCTGAGTCACACAAGCAAGGTGTTTGGGAAAAGGGTTAGGCTTGTCCAAATTCTAGCCAACCCACCAAAATTTACATAATTGGTTCTTATTTCAGTTGCTTCTCTCACCACTCCCTAACCCCACCACCTCCACACACATAGGAGCCTCCACTTGTTTATAAACCCACAGTCATTGGCCAGCAGATTTTTAATGTACCAGGTTATGCTGAAAACAGAATATGAAGTGATTGCATTAATTTATGCATAGCTTGTTGGAAGCTTGCCATCCTAACTTCAGCGCTGACTTGATATCAAAAGAATGTTTAAAATTGTGAATGTATAGTCTGTTAACAAAATGCAAGTCAGCCCTTCACAACTATTTTGTAAATAAAATGAGATCTTGGGAAAGCTTTAGTAAGAAGAGTGTCGGGTCTGCGAAATAAGGTCTCAAGAGTAGGACTTGAAGAAAGCTAAAATCTATGCCTGTGAGGAAACAACCATTACTGTAGCTGACTCCCAAGTTGACTTCCTCAGCATCCCCTGATTAAAACCACTTTCAGAAATAACTCCCTGAAGCAAATAAAACAGAGAATTAATTCTATTCTTGTATGTGTTTGCATATAAATTCAACTCCCAAATGTATTTCCATAAATGATGTACCTAATAGAAATCTAGAACACAAAATCTAATCAAATAATTATAGTTCTACAGATGTACGAAAAGATGAAGGTATTAGAATAATTATATCTGGTTAATTTCTGGCTCAATTCTGTTAAAGACTAATTTTACAATTGTTGAACATCTAATGGGAGGCACTGTTTCCAATAATGTAATGCTTCTTCCTTTTCTGGTGTGTTTGTCAGAAATATTCAGACCATGTGGGTTGCTTTTCTCCATTTATAATAGCTCCTTTCCAGGCACCTAGTTGACATTAGCACAAAGACTACCGAAACTCAGATATAAGATTAAATGTGTTGTCCCTTGTAAAGTAATAATGATAGCTTGCCAAGTCATGTCATGGGCAACAGTGTAGGCAGAACCTGCTGCAGCAAACAGAGCTTGGCTTTGCCTCTCTGGAGCCCTGAGCAGCGAGCACCCTTTCTGTCCCAAGCTGTTCAGGGAAGCAACATGTAGACTAGCACCGCTATTGTACCTTTAGTGACTTTTTAACAAGAATATTGGCGGGGGGGTAGCTTTTCAAACAGGAATTGAATTTAGCTTGTTTAATAGTCCATTTTCATGAGCTGGTTTGTTTTTTTCTAACACAGAAAATAACATTCTCACAAGGTATTTTGGTATTAACAACCTCGGGCTTTCTTCGAGGTGGCCAAAATAATCATGTTTCATTGTTGGTGTATTTTGAAATATTTATTATTTCTGTCTGCCCGCTTTGTTTCTTTTGTGCTTTCATGTTGCATAGCCACTAACATTCTGATATGCTTTCCCAATACATAGGTCGCCATGGAGATGGAGGTTATTGGCCAGTTGATACCAATTTGATTGATAGAAGTACTCTCAATGGTAAGTATATAAATTAGTTTATATTGGATTGGTTATATTAATTAAATGGTTAATTCTAGAGCTCTGCAGCACATTTTCTATTGACTACAAGTTCCAAAATTCCCAGACTTGGGGATGTAGTTGGAATAATAGAAACATGAAGTTATTAACAAACCTGTAGAATATTCGATCAGAAGAGAGTCAGAAAAGCCAAAGCATGGAGAATTGTATAAATGACAGAGGACTTTTAAATGTCTATATTTTAAAGTGTTATGTGTATTTAAAATGTTTCCAATTATTTTATTCGAGAGAGGTGATACCTACAATAGATTGAATTGAAACGCATCAGTTTCATAAATTAACATTACCAGTACGTTTGCCTAAAGTACATTTATTCTTCAAAATCTTCTAGCACCTTAGAGCCAATTTCCCATCACACGGTCAAGATTAGACATTTAGTTCTGCTCATCCTAATGAGCATTCACATATTCTTGGTTTTGAGAATCACCAGATGAAGGCCATCTTAGAACTGCCTGGAAGAACTCCTGTTGGAGTTGTTTTCTGGATCTTGTCCTGAGTTTTGCTGAAGCAGAAACTATGGGAAGTTGGATAAATACTAGCCAAACTCCCAGGGATTGATGTATATATGATAACTTCCTTCTATAGGTTCTTAAAAAATTGTTGCTATTGTTGATTGGCTTGGTTTACTAAAAACATATTTCGTATATTCAAAATACAGATATCAACACATGTACCCATCACCTAAGTTAAGTTATAAAATAGTCAACAATGCAATCGAAATCTCTTATATGTCTCTACCTTATCACATCTTCTCTCACATTCCTTCCATCTCTCACTATGTTGTAGCCACTCTCCCAAATATGATATTTCTCATATGTGTATATGTTCCACCAAATATTGTGGTAATATTATACATGTTTAAAACTTTAGGAAATGACATCATACTATGTCTATCCTGCTACAGCTTGCACTTATATTTAAGTTTGTGTTTTGTTTTTCTTAGACCTTTATTGTTGAAAATATTACATGTGGCCCCTCTTTCCCCCATTGACCCCTTCTAGCCCACCGCTATCCCTCTGAACCAAGCTTTCACTCCCCCACTGTTGGTGTCCATGGGTGATGCATATATGCATACAAGTTCTTTAGTTACTCTCGCCCTCCCACCCACCCACTCCCCCCTTCCCTCTGAGATTCCACAATCTGTTCCATGCTTCTGTGTCTCTGGATCTATTTTGTTGAACCGTTCATTTTGTTCATTAGATTCCAAACATGAGTGAGATCATTTAATGTGCTTTTAAGATTTATTCATGTATTTGCAAATAGCTTTCCTTCATTTATCTTTGCTGCTATATAGTACTGTTTTATGAAAATAACACAATGATTTACTTAACAATTTTAGCAGGTTTTCATGAGAAATATGATTAATGAATAGCTAAATATCCATTTGGATGTTCTTCTGTTAAAAAAATCCATGTAAGAAGCCCAAATTGCAATCTAAAAGTTTTTTGCTGACCATGACATTAGAATAAAGGGGTGAATTATGTGATTATTTCCTATCATAGACTATGACAATCTAATGCATCCCTTTCCCCAAAGAGGATATGTATAATCTAGGGAGTAGACCAGATGCTCCCATGAAAGGCTCAGTGTCCCCTCTCCCCTGGCCAGTGGTGGACTCAGGTACACATTTTGTTGACTCTTCTAGTTGCCAGGCATAGCCTGTCTGTCACTGATGCATTACGTAACCAGACAAGTACAATCTTTCATATTTAAATTTTCTAAATATATTCCATTCAAGCTTTTCTAAGATTATGTCTAGGATATTCTATCCAGGTTGCTATTGCCCTCACCACTTCTATTGTGTCTTACACAGATACTCTTCCCTCACTTTAGTAACATTCCTGTCTTTTGTAGGTATTAGAGTTTTAGGGGCCTGTTATAGCTAGTCCCTGGCTCCGATAGTTCCCAGGTTCCAACAGACAGAGACACACTTTGGAGATTTCACAGAAGAAATATGAGAGGAGGGATGTGTTGGGACTGAAAACAGACCATGAACGTGCTACATAGATTGGTTTAGATATAATTCCCTCCCCCAAACTTTGCAAGTGTCATTCTCTTTCTTCAACTTTTATCCCGAAATCTCAACAATATGCCGAACACCCTTCATGCATTTCAGTAGTCAGTAAGAAATGCTATAAAGCCTCACTGCATGCAGGGTACTTGCTGTGAGACATGGGACATATTGGAAAAAGCCCCTGCAGGAGCAATAGACAAAGAGGGAGGATTACCCAGGTGGACATAGCTGAGAAGTGCACCCAGGAAAGATGAAAGAGAGTGGGAAAAATCCCCGACATGTGAGGAAAGGAAAAGAAGGTTGTTGCTGAAATTGTGTGGAAACCTAATTGTAGTATTTGTTACCCTGAGATGGAGTATTTGACGGGAATTAACTTTTCCCCTTTAGAATCATCCTGCAGAACAGATTCTGAGCTGTTGTGTCTATGGGAGTTTCAAGTTGGAATTCATTCCCAGATGAAGGCAGCCTATAGAATAATTTTTTTTTGAAGAGACAGAGTGCCAGGAAATTAAAGAAATAATTGTTATAGATAATTGGGAAAACACCATTATCTTCTAGCAGTTTCCATCCACTACTGAGCAGTGTTACTTGTGTGAAAGGTGGATCAGATGTTAGCCACAGATAGAGAACTCTGTAGTCTCTTAAACTGTGTCCTAAAGAACTTTAATTTTGCATAGAATTGCCAAACTTAGTACCTAAACATACAGAAAGCTCAGTAAAACTTGAATCCTCTCTAATTGCCTATAAATATGAGATAAAGAAAAATATTGCAAGGGATAGCCATGGTAATATTTTTCAATGTACATATACATAGAGAGCTAGAAATAATTCAGATAACTGTATCTTTATTTTTAATTATTAAATGTGGCAATTCTAATTTGGGATCAAGTTTAAAACCTTGGTATTGACTATTTGAACTTGCCCTTCCAAATAAAACAAATTCTCTGGTTGAAAAGAAACCTAGGACAAATTTGCTGTTGAGGTTAGTCAACAAGAACTTTTCATGGGAGTCAGACCTCACATGAAGGGAATGACAGTAATTGAGAGAAATGTCTTTCGTTGTGTTTTTTACATTTTATTTAATATTCCTAGTGGAAATATAATTGTAAATGTAATTATGATTAATTTAATGTGATCACATTATCTCACCAGAGAAAGTCATGGAGATAAAAATAGACGAATGGTATTAGTTACTTGAAACCAGTTTAGATTATTGGCATTATTCCTTCTTAATTTTCTGCATCACTCATGGAGTTTTAGATATTCTTAAATAGATGGGATGAACAAAGCACCTGAAATATTTCTAGAATCCCTACTGGAATAACAAATTATGACAGGCTGCTTGTCTAAGGTGAATTGATAACCTCAGAGAGACAAGGATGGTGGCAGGCAAACTTAATCTACTTTTCTGTTTAGCTAGCAGATAAATGATGGCAAATTTGTAATTTGATTTTAGTTTGGGCTATTGCAAGCAAATCAGCAAAGACATCTAAAAACCAGAGCTTTTGATTAAAATCCTACTAATGTCTTAAGTCTGAAGAAGGGGATATATTTTCCAACTAGATGAACAATGATACCCTGACTGATAAAACTCTAACCCCACCCCATCTTTAAAAGGTAGGCTGTATCAATGAGAACATTTTAAAATTTGAGTTTTTGAACCTTATATATAATGCAAATTTCATACATCTCCTCTTAGAGTGATGGGATTATGGAGGTTTTCTCTTTCCCTACTTTGCTGGATTCATCCTTCAATGCCTTGTAAGAGAATAATGGCTTATTGTCAGGATACTCAAGCCAGGTGCAAACAAATTTAGACCTAGCTAATCATTTACTTTCTCCTACAGCATGTCACCCTTTTAAAATGGAATCCAAAAAAAGAAAAACAAAGATATAATTCATGTTTACTGTTGTAGTTGGAAGCGCTTAATTAAATTGAGGATACTGAAGAGGTCTCCAAATTATTTTATGATGACAAGCAGACTCAAAGCCAATATGTGGTGATATGGTAGTATTTTATTTTTATGAGGCATTCGGTTTTGAATTATAGTCCCCATTTTTAAATCGGAAACATCTTCAACTTCTGTAAAATGTGACTTTGTAGTTTATGTTTGTATGAATGACAAGAATATTGAAAATTACTTCAATTACATCATGTATGTTTTTCTTAGTGAGGATGATAAATCACCAGTTTATGTGAAAATTACTTCAATTACATCATGTTTTTCTTAGTGAGGATGATAAATCACCAGTTTATTTTTGTTGGTTGCTCCTCCAATAATTTAAAAATTAGTAACTTTAGTTAAGAAATCGATGAACCCGACAAAAAAATGTTGTTATATTGACCTCAACCTTTAAAAACTAAATTAAAATTATGTTGAAAACTATGTTGATACTTTGGTGAAATGTTATTTAAAAATCAATGTTATTAATTTTTGAATATTCAGAAGTATATTAGATGTTCTGCAAAACACGCCTTGTACTCTGTGTTTAGGAGAAAATACCATGATTTGTCCTGTAGTTTTAGAAAACTTTTATTCTTTTCAGAGCTCAATGCCACTTAAACTAATCTAAATAAAATACACACAAAAGCTCTTTCCATGTTTGCATGAAATGATCAACATAGGTTGGTAAGCTGTTTATAAAACATTCAACAGACTTCTGAATGCCAAAGGCAAGGTCCAGAGATAAAATTTTTACAGTTGTTTTTCCTGTGGAAAGATCAATGAAGTGGTCCAGGGTCTCAGGTTTTAGTCTACAAAAGGACCTGCCCACCAATATCTATCCCAAATGATCTTAAGGATCCCAGACAAATCCCAAAACCAGGTTCTAGAACTGACTTTGCCAGGGATTAGGACTGTCAGTCATGTCACTTAAACTCTTTGGATTTCAGTTTTTCGTCTGAACATAGGACCTATTAAGCTAG